CCACCCCGGCCCTCCAGCCAAGTGACCTTTACAAAGGAAACCCAGGTGGGTGGAGCTCTGCAGCCCATACCTTTGGGGCCCTGCCACCTCGAGGGCATGTGTCCTCAGGCCTCTGCCTTGCCTTTCCCTTACGGCACCAGGAGCTGCTGTGGGCTGGAGTGGCTGCTTCTCCCTGGAAGAGACTCCGCACAGATCCCTCCCAATGTGCTACGGCCCCACTGTGCACCCCCCAAGACCCCTCAGTCACAGTAGAATCAAGGACAAGCCGCTCGTTCCTGCTTTTTGTCAGTGCTGCCTGGACCTTCACGGATCCTGCTAAGAGTAAAATGACACCTTTAAAAATCACCTTTTCAAGTTTCCACGGTCGTGATTCTTGAAGGTGGTCTCTGGGTTCCCGTTCTTCTGTGTTCTGAGAAGTGGTCACATTGGCCATGGCAGCTGGGGGTGGGTGATGCTAGGTGGATGGGATGGGAAGGAAGAAACCAGGAGGCGGGAGGGCACTGGGCATATTCAGGAGCAGCTCCAGGCTCCGGAGGGAAAGTGGAGCGCACCGGGGCCAGGGCTGGCTGACCGGGGTGAGGGTGTGGGCTGTGGTGGAGGAGGGGTCTCACTGAGGGAGAGCTCCTGAGGCTGCGCAGGGACCCAGTGGGCCTCGTTCCTGCCACATGCACGATCCGGCCACGTGCACCCCCAGTCTGGCCAAAGCTGACCCCAGACAGCGCAGGCCGTCATCTGCACAGTGGGATTTGGTGCTCTGTAAATAAAAAAAAAAGCCCACCTGTCCCCTGTGCCCGCCACTGCGCCAGTCCAGCCTCACTCGGGGTTGCTGGGTGTCCTGCTTTTCCACTTTCCAGAGGGCTTCTCTGCGCCAAGGCCGCGCGGAGTCTGAAGGACTTAGGAAGCCATAAAGCCCCCTCTCCTCCCCTCACCCCAAGTCGTGCAGTGAATGTCAGCTCGAGAGAGGCTGATTTCTGAGATTAGGAATGAAAAAGAGATCTGAGATCTGAGGGATAAAAAAAGAAATAACACCAATTCTGTACAAACTCTTTCAGAAAAACAGAAGAGGCCAGGGTTAGCCTGATAACCGGAGCAGACATGACGAGTCCAGGAAACAGCGCCAGCGTCTCTCCTGGTTGTAGACGCAGAAATCCTTCACTACGTCTCTGTCCAGTCCAACCCAGTGATGTTCAGGGAGAGTCGTGTATCTTGACCACGTGGAGTTTGTCCCAGGTGTGCAAAATAGGTTTACCATTTGGAAACCAATTGTTATAATTCACTATTTAAAAACATGGGAGCGGTTATTGGCTTTGATCACCAAAGTGCATGAACTATGCCCGCCGTAGCACACACGCACACTGTCTCTCTCACAGCTGTCACCCAAGCTCCCGCCGCCCGCCCCCTCCCCGCCCAGGCTCTCTCCAGGAATGGTGAAGCGATGGCAGGTTCCTGAAGGAGTCACAGCCTCCCTGCCTCCCTCCCAGTCTCCACCCTTGCAAAGGAGTCTGCCTGAGATGCCAGGCTGATGTTAAGCATGGGCCCTGTGCCAGGCACTGTGCCGGGCTCCCACATGGAGGGCCCCCTAAGTCACACACCACCCCACGGGGACCACTGTCATCGCTATTTGACAGATTGGGACACAAGGGCTCAGAAAGAGCAAATCACCACAGCCAGGAAGTGCTGTCATTGGCCTGAGCCCGGGTCTCCAGCACCCCATGTTATTGACACCCCACAGATTGTGCCTCCCGGGCAAGACGCCCGCTGCCTTCCTGGGGAGACTTTCCCCTTAACTGTTCATTAACCACTCAGGATTCCACCGGCCCCCCTAAGGTTAGGGGGTCTGCCGAGAGCCCTCCATTCTTCAGAAACCCCCTCCTCATCCTCAAGACTGCAGAGACCACCACCCGCCCCCCACCACAGAGGCAGAGCCCCTGAGGACCCGAGTCCTGCTGGGGATGTGGGCCTCAGAGGGCAGCAGCCAGTCCCCAGCCCAAAGCTGGAGCCGGATTCGCAGTGGGTGACAGATTCCGGAGGGCGGGGGCGAGGAGAGAAGGAAGACACCTTCACCCCTTCTGCTCAGCATCTCATAAACGCGCCACCCGGGAGCATCTGTGGGAATGTGCAGAATGTATTTTAAAGACTCTGGAACCAGCCAACTTTCAAGATTGGAAGTTGGGGGTTTTAGTCGTGGTGGCTGGCGGGGTTCAGCACCCCAGAGCTCCTTCAGGGCAAAGACGAGGTGCAGATCTTCTGCCCCCCCTGCAGAGCTGGGTGCAGGAGCCTGGAGAGGTAAGCCCAGAGCCTTGGGAGAGTGGGCGACGGGGCTTGGGGTCTGTGTGCAGAGGCATTGGCCCTGGGGGAACCCTGCCCATTGAGGATGTGGGATCTCCGCAGCAGGAGGGAAAGGTGGTCAGGCCCGAGGACAGGACCTGCAGAAGCTCTGTGCCCAGGAGGCCTGACGCCCTTCATCAGCGGCCGCTGGGCCCCTCGGACAGGAATGTGCTGTATCCCCGCCCTATCCCAGAGGAAGTTGTTTTCCTCCCCCAAAGGACCCTGTGTGTTACGGGTTGAATCGTGTCCCCAGAAAGCTATGTCGAAATCCTAACTCCCAGTATGTACGAATGTGACCTTATTTGGAAATAAGGTCTTTGCAGATGTGACTAAAATGTAAGTTAAGATGAGGTCATACTGGAGTAGGGTGGGCCCTGATCCAATGTGCCTGCTGTCCTTACAAGAAGAGGAGGCAGACCCAGACTCAGGGAGAAGGCCCCGTGACGACAGAGGCAGAGACTGCAGTGATGCAGCTGCAGCCAGGAAAAGCCCCGGACGCTGGCCACCTCCAGGAGCTGGAAGAGGCAGGAAGGATTCCACCCTGAGTCTCAGAGGCAGCGTGGCCCTGCTGACACCTTGACTGTGGACTAACCTGCGGAACTGTGAGAGAATAAATTTCTGTTGTTTTCAGCCACCGGGTTGTGGTTCTTCATTGTGGGAGACTAATGTACCGTCGGCAGCAGAGTCCAGCTCATCCCCATCTCCCCTCCTATGGGCTGTGCAAAGCCCCATGCAGGAGGCTGAGGTAGGGGGACTATGGGCCACGGGCTACAAGAGAGAGACCCATTCCCACCCTGCTGTGCTGCCTCCTGGCTGGGAAACCTTGGGCAAGTCACGTCCCCCGTCAGGGCCTCAGTTTTCTCATCTATACAATGGGCATGTTGATCACCCCACGTGACAGGATTGTTGGGAGGTGTTGATGAGCCCACACATGAAGCACTGGCTCAGGGAACCCTCAGCCTCAGCCTCAGCCTCACCCTGACCTGTATTCACCTCCACCCCACACTCTGGGTGCAGCCACTTGGAGCGTCCTGCTCGTCTGTGACAGGCACAGCCCCTTTCACCTCCCGGCCCTTGCCTGTCCATTCCCTCTGCCCAGAACACTCTTCCCCTCCTTCCTGGCTCACTCCACCTATTTCCTCCATCTCCCCTTCCCCAGGACCCTGCCCTGGCACCCCATTGCTGGGCTGCCGTCCCCATACGTCCCTCATTGAAGATCCCCTCAGGCTCGACTGTGTCTGCCTGGTCACTTGTCCACTCCTCGGGGGCAGGGACCAGGTCAGCAGCGAGTGAACGAGCATCCTGAGACTGGAGTGAGAGAGCGTCTTGGCCCCCAGGGGAGATCTCAGTGGGGCTTCAACTGTTCACGGCCCAGGCCCTGGGCAGAGCGGCCAGTGCGGGGTCTGGGGGGTGGAGGGGCCCCTGACAGTGACCTCAGGGGAGGACTGAGCAGCCTGGGACAGCCTGGGAGCCCGTTGCCCCCGACCACCTGCCACCGCGGCCCGTCTGGGGCTGAAGAAATCAGCCCCCACGTTAACAGAGACTCTCCTGCTGGAAACTCGCATCCCACAAGGATAAAACCACGCAGGACAGGGTCCGTTCGCATGTCATCTGTATTGTCACAGGAAATGCACATCCATAACGGTTGACTTGGAAACGACCTATTAGGTCACACGGAGTCCGGCCCCTGGGGGCCAAAGCGGCACTGATGCCCATGCCCGTGGGCTTTCTGCAGTGACAGCATGGACACCTGGTCTCCCCAGGCTCAGGGCCCGGCGCTGGGAAAGGCCAGCTCGTGCCTCAGGCCCTTCGGCTCCTGGGCAGCATCTCCCAACACGCGCTTGAGGGCAAGGTGGTTCCTTAGGGGTTCATGGCTGTTCCACAGGAAAAGGGTTCTGTGGTCAAATCAGTTTAGGAAACATGGGTTAAACAAGGTTCAACAGGAAGCTTTTCTGCAGGGCTTGTCAGAGCGTTTCTGACAATAACAGCCCTCGTGAAGGTCCAATATGGGGGCAGAGTATGCAGCATTTCCCAAATTTATTTGACCCCAAAGCCCTTTTTCTTCCTAAAGCATCTTCAGGCTAGCGTCCAGTAGGGCACCCTTCGGAAGGTGCTGCCCTAAGCCAGCGATGACGGTTAATGGCAATGGCACCTCTGTTGGCAGTGGGTGGGGGTATTTGGCCAAGCATCGTGCTGTAGCATGGTGGGCACAGCCAGGAACTCGACAGTCATGACGACGGAAGGACAAGACAGGCCTGGCCCCTCCCCGCCGTCTTGGTTCTAGCCTGTTGTCTCCAGAGCGGAAGCCAAGCAGGGCTGTCCCCACGGCTGGGCCCTGGCCTGCCCAGGGAGACTCGGAGTCCAAGCAAAGAGGTGGGGGCACCCAGTGCTACCAGACATGCCAGTCACAGAGTGGGCCCGCCCGAGGCCACCAGCCTCCAACAGGATGGGGCGGATGAGCCGGCCGCCCTGCTCACGCCTCCGCCGGCCGGCATCCTCCCGAGCACGGGCCGGCGGCTCACCAGGCGGAGATGAGCATCTGGCAGGTGTTGGAGGACATCCAGACCAGCTCCACCAGGCGGAACTGGAAGTAGCCGATGACGAAGCCTGAGACGACGTCGGTGATGTGGTGGCGGCCGATCATGACGCGCGACAGGCCCACGCAGAAGGCCCAGAGCACCAGCAGGATGCGCAGGGGCACCGCCAGCACCAGGTGGCTGAGGAAGAACTTGGACACCATGGCCGCGCGGCTGGCGTGCCCGGCGGGGAAGGCGTAGATGTCCATGGTGAGGTAGTCCAGGAGGCCGGGGCTCGTCTCGAACGGGCCACGTCGCTTGATGAGCTTCTGCACGCCGGCCACCGTCATGATGTCCAGGAGCAGGGCTGTGGGCGGGAGAGAGGGCCCCGAGGCTGTCAGTGTGCCTCCCGCCTCGTCTCCCCGCCCCTCGCTTTCTTCACTCCAGCCACACTGACTTCACGCACATTCCCACCTCAGGGCCTTTGCACATGCTGTTCCCGCTACTTGTCCTTCCCTGGGATATGCACACGCCCTCACTCCCTCGGCAGAGAAGCCTTCCTGCCCACCTGTTCACAAAAGCCCGTCGCCGTCTATCCCCCTCTCCCTGCTTTCTTTTCCTTTGCAGCCTTGCTCACCACCTGCCATGTCACACATTCTCTTGGGCATCTCTCTCCTCTCTCCCCCACTGCAGCGTGCGCTCCGTGAGGGCCGGGACCCAATCTGCCCACGGCTGGGAGGCGTTCAGTAAAGGCACTGAGGGAGAGAGTGGGCGATCAGGGGTATCATGGGTCACTACGGGCCCCTTGGAGGGTCTCAGTCCTGACAAGCAGGGCCCTGGGCTGGCGATCTTTCTCAAAGGACCTCACTGATCCCCTGCCAGGCCTGAGAGCAGGATGTCACCAACCCCATTTTGTTTGAGGTGACATTCACATAACATATAATGAACCATTTTTGAGTGTACAGTTCAGTAGTATTTAGCATACTCGCAAAGTTGTGCAACCACCACCTCTATCTAGTTCCAGAATATTTTCATCACCCCAAAAGGAAACCCCATACCCAGTAAGCAATCAGTCCCTGTCCTCCCTCTCCCCCCAGCCCCTGGCCACCACCAATCTCCTTTCTGTCTCTATGGATCTGCCTCTTCTGGACATTCTATGTGAATGGAGTCACACAACGTGTGGCTGTGTGTCTGGCTTCTTGCACTTAGCATCATGTTTTTGAGGTCCATCTTGTTGTAGTGTGTGTCAGTACGTCATTCCTTTGTATGGCTGAATAATATTCCACGGTGTGGACCTACCACCATTTGTTTACCCATCACCCGTTGACGGGCATTTGGGTTGTTTCTACCTTTTGGCTGTTGTGAATGCTGCTGCTGTCAACACGCATGTGCGAGTGTTTGCTGAGGCCGGGCTTTCAGTGCTTGTGGGTACATACCCAGGAGCGGAGTTGCTGCGTCATAGGCTAACTCGAGGTGTAAGTTTTTGAGGGACCACCAACTGTTTTCCGCGGCAGCTGCACCGTCTCATCCTCATCTTTCAGAGGACAAGATGGAGCCTTGGAGCTTGGAGTCTGCACACCTGCTGCTCCTTCTTTCTGGAACGTTCCCCTCTTTCCCTCCCTGCTGACTTATTCTCCCTCATCCTTCAGGCCTCAGCCTAAACGTCACCTCCTCAGGGAGGCCTTCCCTGACCTCCAGGCAGGCCAGGCCCTGAGCAGTGCGTTCCCAAAACCCCACATTTCTCCTCATGCACTTTCGCAGCTGCAACTAAGGGATCGGCTGGCTGGAGAGAGGTTCGGCGTCAGCTCCCTCCCCCTTCCCCGCACCATTTCTTCGCGGAGACCGGGGCCAAGTCTCTTCTGTTCATAGGTTTATCCCAGGGCCAGACAGAGTGGCAGTCTCCAAGTGTTAGTAGAGTCACGGGCCTGGGCGCAGAGCCAGAGGGGAGGGCTCTATCCCCATTTGGGGAGCATGAGGGAGACCTCTGTCCGTCCTGCCTCCACCATACCCTGCTGTGTGGCCTTGGAAGGGCTGCTCTGCCTCTCTGTGCCGTTAGATGAAGGCACGACACCGAGGCCCCAGTTTCCCCCAGCTGATCACAGTGGCACCCAGACAGCCAATGTGGGGGCTCCTGGCAAACCCTGCTCACCCTTAGAAAGGCCCACGGAGACACACCTGAGGTCACGGTACCTGTAAGCCCTTCTTCAAGTGACAGCAAAGGGAAAACCAGCATTGCGGTGCACTGACAAAGCTCATGAGCATCACAGTCAGAGACCTGGGTTCCGTCCCAGCCCTGGAGCCTGCCGGCTATGTGACCTTGGACAAGTCACCTCTTCCCTCACCTGTGAGACGAGGTCATGGACACCTACCTCCTGGAGGGGACCCGGCACGGTGCCTGCAGGGTGACCAACCATCCCAGGTCTGACCCCCTGGGACAGAGGGGTTTCCAAGACACAAGACCTTCAGTACTAGAACAGGGACGTCCCAGCACCCCGGGATGAGTTGGTCCCCCTGTGCCTGGCACACCGGAAGGGCACACGGGTGGAGGGTTATTACCAAGTGACAGTTCAGTGCATCCCCGAGCCGGGAGCTTTCCTAGGAGCTCTGCTGCGACGTCAAAACTGTTGGCCTGCAGCCCCTCTTGCTCAGAAATGAACAAACAAAAGGACTTTGGAAAAAAATGACACTGTAGATGCTCACTGCAAAAAATTTACAAAATGGAAAACAAAAGTGGGATTTTAAATCACCTGAAATCCTGCCACCCAGAGGTAGCCACCGTTCCAGAAACTTCTATCCATCTATAGAGCGTAGACTTAATAAAAGCTGTAACATGCTCTACACATGCTGTTCTGTAACCTGCTTTTGAAAGTCTCGCCTCGTCACACGCCCCCCACCTCCCGCCAGCTGTAGGGTGTGAGGCACCTGGAGTGTCTATTTAACAGTCACGGCTCTGGACATTCAGATTGCTCCCCAATAACACTGCGCTCCCCGGTTAGTGCAGAACTCCTCGGCCTTCCTCCTTTTCTGCCCTCTGTGGGGTTGCTGCGTGCAGTCTGGGCTCTTGGTTTGGGATTTGAATCCCTGGCCTCTCCTGGGCCTCCCCTCTCAGTAGCCACGGGCTGGCTGACGTCTGTCCACCTAGGACGTGCCTGGCCAGCAAGGGAGAGGGGCAGAAGCAGGAAGCGGTGGATGGAGAAGCTGCCCAGCTGAGAAAGGAGCCTGAGGGAGGGAAGGAGGGAACCTTGTCCTATACGCCCCACAGGCATTTCCATGGCAACTTGTTCCTGTCCCGGGAGCCCAGGCCTCCTAGGAGGCGGCTGGCAGGAGAGGTGTGGGGCCCGCAGGCTGCCGACCCCCAAGGAGGCCAGGCCCAGCCTGGCAGCCATTCGGAGCCTGCGGGAGGTCACAGTCCCAGCGGGAGAGAGGGCCCGGGGACTGCCAGATCTCCAGGGCAGATGAGAGCTGGTGGGAGGCAGCCGCATCTGACTCTTGGGACTTTTGGCTTAACCGAGCAGCTGAGGCAGGAGGCCAGGCTGAGGCCCCTCCCTCACCCAGGTGACAGGCTCTCTCCTCCTGGGGAGGGGGCAGCTTACGGGGCAGGGTTAAACGTGCAGGTTTCAGAGCCACAGGTGGGGCTCAAGTCCCAGATGCTCTGCTGATTAAGAACCAGTCCCTCCACTTGTCAGAGCCTCGGTCTGCTCACCTGTAAGAGGGGTGGTCGCAGGACGAAAGGAGCTAATTCACGCCTGTGAAGCTTTAGCACAGCCTGGCATGTGGTGATCGAGGGCACAGCTGCTGTTACGACTCCTGAGCCGCAGTCTGGCCTGACCCAGGTAAGCAATTTACAGCTCTCAGACCCTGCGGGCTGGGCGGCATCGAGCAGGTGTGTTGGTGACAGGGTTTCCTTCTCTGAGGTTTCAGAGTCAAAATTACCTGCTCCAGGTTCTGAGACCTCCACCGCCTGAAGGGAAGTCAGAAAGTTGGGGGCCAGGGCCTCTTAGGTGCTGGTGGGTGGTGGCCGGCCAGGGTCTGGGTGCCAGGAGGGCTGCCGGGGTCTGGTGGGTTAATGAGGACCAGGACTGCCCAAGGTAGATGGAAACATGACACTGAGATGTGGGTCATCTGTGCAATTGGTGACCAAGTTTCTCAGCCAAAAATCAGGGCTCAGCAACCTGGCAAGTTATTGCTGGTTAAATCTGCCTGCCCAGCCGAGTGTAAGCCCTCATGTAGGAGCCCAGCGAGAGCTGCTGGGTTCAAGGAGAAAGGCGGGAGGGAGGGGCAGCATCGGCACCTCTCTAGGCTGCCCAGTGGGTGCACCGGGCTCAGGGATCCCTCTGATGTTGTGGCTGAAGGCAAGGAGGGTTTGTGCCTTGACCTCCCCCGATGCCCCAGCTCTCCTCAGGGACCATCAGGATCCACAGGCCAAGAACACCTTTCAAATTTTTTAGCAGCAAAATGTCTTTCTCTCAATGAAAGCCCACACAAAGACTCAGTGTATGAAGCAGATGGAAGGGGCAGCCCCGTGGTGAAGCTGGGGGAGAGGGGGACCCCCTCCTGCTCCCCAGGGAGGCCTCTGAGGCTGCCCGTGTCCCATGATTTGAAAACCCCGAGTCTGGGCCTTTGGGAATCTGCTGCTATTTCTGGCTGGTTCTGCTTCTTGAGGCCATAATGAGGTGGAGACTGCCTCTGCCCCGTGCCCCTTGGGGACCATCAGCTAGCCTGGCTGTCCAGCTGGCCCGGCCCATCTGTGCCTGGTTCACTCATTCACTTGACCTCCAGTTCCTGGGCATCGCTGGTTCTTGAGTATGTCAGGTGTGGGCCAGGCCTGGGGCTGGGGAACCAGGCTGGCAGGCTGCCATCCGGCCGAGGGGGGGACTGGCAGTAGGCAATGGTTACACAGACAGATTCTTTACAGGTGTGATGGGCCCCTGCTCTCATCCCCTCATCACGCTGCAGCGGTTTGTCTGTCTGTCCAGTGCTGAGGGTTAGAGTAGGAGAGGCAGTGGGACCACGTGCTCAAATGCAGGCCGGCTCTCCAACAGAGCCAATGGCCTCCTCCAGGCCTCCCCGTACCACGCCCCCTCCTGCGGCCCCTTCAGGCAGCTCTCCCCTTCTCCAGCACCCCCCGCAGCCCTGGGTGTGACTGTGATTCTGACACCATCAGCGAATTATCTGGGGCCCAGAAATAGAAGCAAATGGCGCCATCACTCAAGGCTCCGTGAATTCCGCTCACATGGCCCTGTGAGTTCCCTGACCTACATTCCTTCCTGGACTCGGAGCGAGGCAAGGGGGTCCCCATGGGGAAGGTCCACCTGCCAGGAAGCTCAGGGGTCAGGGTCAGGGTCAGGAGAGTGGCCGAAGCTGCGT